CACCAATGTCTGAAACACAGGGCTAGAATTTGGGAACCTCCTTTTTCAGGAGAGCATTAGAAAAAAGAGAGTGTATAGCATGAATGATATCTAGAGATCATATAAATCACACTAGGAGACAAATAAAAGAAGGAGCTACATGGTCAATATCAATAAAATGACTTGGGTGGCCAAGAGTGGGTACTTGGCACTGTCATCCTTTCTCTGAAAGAGTGGCATGGGAAAGAGCAAATTGATTTGCTCAAATCAATAGAAAGAGCCAAGAGAGGGAATTAGTGAGACAGAATTTGGCTTTGTGTAAGGAAAAAAGTTGTACTAATTTTACCTGCTCTACAAAGGAATCAACTCCCTTTCACTTCGGAGAATTGCAATAATCAAGAGGAAGCCCTTCCAAGTATGCCTTATTGGAGACTTCTTTTTATCTTCTGGTTTAGATTAGATGACACTTCAAAGTCCACCCAGCTCTACAGTGCTACAGAAGTATTCTATCGCTATATCCACAACAAATGGTTACAATATGGCCTGATTCTAAAGAAAGCAAGTGCTGGGAATTCAGTACCAAGGACGATATTCCCACGTGCAAATCTACTTTGTATTTCTAAAAGCATCAGTGGATAAAGGTGAGGTTACTAATAAAATTTCCTTTGAAAGTTCCTGTGGCCAAGGCACTTTCATAAATCTTCATAAAAATTCCTGAGGAGATCCTGAGTGTGATATCTTATACATTTCATACTTATATTTTTACTGAATAAAAATGTGCATTAATAGATCACTACAAAGTTTATAGAATGTCTTTATCTCCTGTAATAATACTCAATGTGTAGTGAGTGACTTTTGCACTATGATATCTAATGATGGATTCTTTGACATATTATTTAGTGTATTTATTTCTATTTTGTCTTTCATCTCTATACTAAACACCATGAAGACAGAATTGTATCTGTTTGGTGTACTACACTATTACTACAACTTAGAAAATTGCCTTTTTCACATATAGGCTGTGCTTGACAGATGTTCATTTAATTAATCAATCATATCTAGTTCTTTAAGTAGCTTGATTAAAATCACAGAGCCACCAGGATTTTGTATGTGGATGGTCTGATTGAAAAGGCTGAATTTATAGCCACTCAGCTAAGCAGAAAAATTTACTACCTATAGAATAAAGATACAGTATCTGATTCCCCAAAGTCCTATTACTCTGTGGTTAGTAAGCTTGCAGGTTGGAGAGGGAGGAATAAAATTGGTTGACAGCAAGTTATCCAACCTAGTCTGCAACTATCCTGAAACAAATGCCCCCCCCCTTTTTCATTTAATTCATTTTAGCTTTACAAAACTGTACCCCATCCTTTGTTTCTAATCTTTCAGTCGTGTAAGTTTGGTGAACTTGATTCAGACCATTTTTTTTCTTCTTTACGAAGGGAGACAGCATCATATTTTTCTCCTCATTAAATCTAGTGCTTTTGTCTTTTGTCTTATTTTAGAGTAGCAGACTTCCACATTTACTGATAGCTTCCTTTGTTTTCTCTGCTTCTCTGTGAGGACTGTTGTTCTTTAGCTTCTCTGTGGTAGACTGTGAGTCTGCTTTTGTGTTTAAAATGCAGTTAAAATCTCAGTATCAAAAATAAAACAGTAGTTATTTATCCCCTCTTGGGTAACATGAAAAAAAATAGCATATTTTTGTTTACATGCTTCAATCCTGCAACAGTTTCTCAGTTTTTGTTGACATAATAGTGAGCTGTAGACTCAAATCACAATTGTTGTTACACTACCTATCCTCTCTTTAATTATTTTTACACTGAACATTCAGTTTTAGAACATATTTGGAGCAGTTATTTAGTAGTAATGCAGTATCAGATTAGTTTCATGTTCACTGTGGTCTCTCCTCCCCCCATATTTCTTTATTCTTCATTATTTTGGTTCATTGCTTGGTCAACAGATCTTTGAATGATTCATTAGAAGGCATATGAGAGCCCCTGGATACCGAGCATCTTTGCAATGTATTTGCATGACAACAACAGCTTGGGTAATAAGGATTCTGCGGGCTACAATGCTTCTTTCTCAATAATGCCCCAGACTTCCCTTTGCCCGTAGGATTCTTCTCATTCTCTGCTATCATAGACCAAATACGGACAATCCCAGTAGGGAGCAGGCAGAGATTTGTTAACATGAGACTGGTTCTTCTGCCCCTGTGATCTTTTCCACAAATATTTGCAAGCAAAACTTAAAACTAAATACAGTAGTCTCAAGCAATGTTTAGTTTCTTTTTTCCTGGCAAGAAAACTACAATGCCGTGTGCCACAATCTGACTGCTTTTCTTCTCCTTGTGCTGCGCAGCCAATTCTATTCCAAAGACTTCTTGCATAAACATTAATCCAATTTCTTTCCTGGTTTTGGTCATTGTTAGAACTCTTAGTATTAAAACAAGAATACATGTGATGTGGGATTAGAGACATAACTAATTATATAGCCTTATTCAGCTTAGAAGCCATAGTAGAAACTACTTTTAAGACCAGTAAGCTTCAGAATGTCTGACTTCTTGTTTCTCAGTGGAAAAATACTACCTAGAGAAAGGAATCTATCATGATGTTTGGGGAGAAAAACATCCAGTAGATATCCTCTCCCTCTCGTTTTCTCCACACGAACAATCATATTTAGATTAAGGAGATTGCTTTTGCTTTTTGGAACTGGGAATTGAACTCATAACCTCACGTTTGCCAGGCAGGCAGTGTGCTGCTGAGCTATATCCCTGGCCCCAGGTTAAGGAGCATCTTTTTTTTTCTTTTTAAAAATTTTATGTATTTGGTATAGGGTCTCACTATGCAGCTTGGACTAGTGATCCTCCTGTTTCAGCCTCCCCAGCATTGGAATCATAGGTGTGCACCACCACACCTATGATCCAAGTCTCAGTGGCTAGTTGGTGTGCCTAGGGTGGGGCTGGCACAGCATGTGGTACTGGGGGTTGAACCTGGGTCCTTGTGTTTGCCTAGGCAGGCACTTAGACTGCTGTGCTGCCTATGTAGCCCAAGATTCCATGTAAGATAAATTAGTCATTATGCAAGTGCAGGTACTGGGCTTTGATGCCCGGCACCAGATGCTATGCTGATGCCCCCCAGGCACACTGAGCAGGCCCCCAAGACTGGGCATGGTGGTGCATGCCTGTAATCCCAGCACTTGGGGAGGCTGAAAACAGGAAGATCACTACAAGGTGGATCTGCACAATGGGACCCTGTACCAGAGAGAGAGAGAGAGAGAGAGAGAGAGAGAGAGAGAGAGAGAGAGAGAGAGAGAGAGATTTTTGCCTTGGGCTCAGTAGACTTGCTCCATTGCATGATTATGAGTATCTAGGAGGATATGGGATAGAGGGTAAGTGGAGAACAGGTTCCTTTTCCCAATATGAAAATCTAACCACATTTCCTGGTGCATTCTAAGAGTAGAGAAAGTCTTGCCTCATCAGAGTCATGTTAACACAAGAACCAGGCCTGTGTGGGCTACAGAGATCTCAGAAAAGGATGGCCCTTAGATGCTTCTGCCAATCTTTATATTTTTCTATTTAGTACATCACAGTGTTTCATGCAGAGGGATCAGACAATCAGACAGACAGGTGGAAAGCAATCTGGCAGCACCTTTTTGTGGTTTCATACTGTCTGCGAGGAGTGTTACTTGAACCATTAAAAACTGAAGAACTAAAATATCAAAGTGGTATTTAAGTGGGGCCATGGACCTTCTAACTATTAATCTGCTCCTTCAGCTAGGTGTCTTCCCAGGCAGTGACTGCCCCTGACAAACCCTCTATCTGGACAACCCCAAGCCCCTCAAATCTAGTTTTTGTCCCAGCATCCCTTTCTTAGTGAACTTCTAACTTCTTCAGATACACTGCATAGCAGGGCATATACCAGACTTCTTTACATTTCTGTAAGCTCTTGGAGGGCACATATTAACCTTAACAGGAAACATGGTACTCAGTATACAAAAGTGCTCATTAATGCTTGTTCAATGAAATATGGGAACCTGGAATATGTCCACAAAAGCAACCTGGATGTCAAATATTCACTGGTATTATTAGAAGGACTAAAGATATTTTGCTTACAGAAAAGAAGACCAGATGAATGAGACTTTAGAGAGAGGTAGTAAGTGGTAGAAAATATATTATATAATGGAAAAAATAGCAACCAAGAAGGTGACTGTATTGGCTCTAGAGGTCCCTAAAAGTATAGACCAAAAGCAATGTATAGAGGCTACAATAAAATAATATATTTAAGCAAGTACATTGCAAAGCTTTCTTAGATCCACAGCTCTGACATCATCACCCCCAATATCAGCAAAATGAGTTCTCTCACATTGCAGGTTTTAAAAAAAAGCACTAATGCCAGTACACTGTGATGCTGTAGTTCCCAGAAGCTTTGCTTTGTGTGGGTGAGTAAGAGGGGAGAAGCTGGGTGACCTTTGAGATCCTTTCCAGCCCTGCGTCTGTGTGATATGATGACCAAATTTCCTACTTGAACAAAAAAATTTGATACTAGTTACCTCGTTTTTGAAATAATTAGAAGGCTGTTTTTAATATCAACTAACAGTTACGATAGAGGTGCTAGTAGTCACAGATCAACTAATATATGTAAGTGAGACTACAGATAACACACCGACAATTGTTACTACAATGAACAGAGAAATTAAAACTCAGGCCCTGTGCTTTGTTCAAGTGCAACACCTTCTCCATATTCTAATACAAAAGATACAGGACATTTATATTGTCATTGTTTTAGTCCTTGTGGGAGTCCTGTTTCAACTGCTCAGCTCCACTGTGAAGTGTCAAAGCAGCCATTGATAATATGCAAATAAGCAGCACCTAAAAAGCAAATGAAAACTGCCCTCAAGGCCTTCCGACATCATCAGGCTGGATTGGACCCATGGGCCTTAGTTTGTTGATCTTTCAAGCTTTGCTCCTTTCTCATTTGAGAATTAAGAGATTCATATAAGACCATACTCCTTGTGGCCATACTTACTCCATTTGCTTTGCTGAGTGCCTGGAAATAGATGCTGTAGCTTTTCAGCGGGGAGAGAGGAGGATTCCAGTAGCCGTTGTATGTCTTGTTGTCACCCACTGTAAATGGCTGGGTGACAGGCAGGTTGGAGGGCTTCAACTCAGCAGCAAAGTAGTGTAAAGAATCCAGGTTAGAGGCATTCCTGTAGCTCACAGGTACTGAGAAGCACTCGATGATGTCAGCTGCCCTTCGTGATTTCTGAAGTCGCTCCTCCTTAACAACCAGCTGATAAACACTGGACAGGAAACAGAAGAGATAGATGAGAAAGTCTTTCAAGGGATGGGCTCATTAGTTTTCATGGTGTCAGCACAATTTTCCCAATCTGGAAGTATTACACTCACTGCTGTCTACAACTAGCTTCTTTTTTTTTTCTTTTCTTTTCTTTTTTTGTTTTTGTAGCTTCAGATTTTCAAACCTATTGTTTTGTAGAAATCTCTCTCCTCTCACAGTTCAGAAAGTCAGCTCATACTGAACATATCCAAAGTTCATCTCAGCTCCAACTCGTACAAACCTTCTGCACCTCCTTCTATATGCCTTTCCTTCTTGAAGGGCAGCATTATGTGTCAGGTGGACACAGCCTGAATGTAGTGCTCATCCCCAGTCCCTCCCTCCTCAGTCCCTCCTCTTCATTTCTAACTAACAACCTTGGGTTCTTGCCTCAACAGCAATGCCCTGACTCTTTTCTCCTTTCTTAACTCATTTCTGACTTGGGTACTTTCCTGAGCCCTTTGCCTCTCATTGATTGGATCAGTTAATCAGTCCATCCATTGATCTTCCTATTCATATGATTCTTCCCCATAGGCTCTCAGTTGTCCAAATTATCCAACTATACCCATCATCACGGCATGTGGACACCTTTGGTTGACCCTCAGCCTTCCTTTCAGAAGATCTCTTGATGCCCTCTTAATTCCAGCTGCTGCAGATGCCATGCTATTGCACATGTATCTTTTGGACCTCACCTCCCATATCACCAGCTGTGCTTTTGCTACTTGCAATGCCATCCAGTCCTGCCCAACTCAAATCTCTCTCTATCTGTCTCTTTCTCTGTGTCTGTGTATCTCTGCTTCTGTCTGTCTGTGTTTCTCTGTCTCTGTCTCTTTTTTTCTTACCTCATTAGTCTATAGCCATGTTATGATTGGTTCTGCAATCAATGAGATGGGATCTCTGTATGACTGGTTAGACTCTCCTTTTAGAAAGTTAGCATCATAGCTTAATTGTCTCCAAATCACCACCCCATTGTACACACATTGCCCAGCAGGATACTTGATATCAAGCAAGTGATCAATGAATGTACAATGAAATGAATCAAGACTGAAAGCAAGCATGAAACTGCATCTGACTGGAAGCAGAAACTTCAGACAAGGAAAACAGTGATTCCTTGGAGATTCTGTCTAGTGATCTCATATTATCAGAAGTATGCAGAATTCAGAAGTATGCAGAAAATTCCTAGTGTGTTGCAAGATGATAGAGCTTTCATTGGATATCAACTTCATGCCAAATGAATAGATTCTCTTTGTAAAAGCTGTGCTAATGTTTGTGAATTAGGTAATGTTTCCCCATCACTCTGAATGTCCACAGTGTGTAGTTATCCTGAATAAATGTTCTTTCTTTAGAAGACCTTTATTGTACAGATCTCTGGAACCCACGATCTGAGATGGAAGATGAATTGCCCAGAGGGTCCCAAATGAGACTTGTGTAAATTAATGAGACGGACACAGCAGAAGCCCCAAGCCAAACATTTAAAGATGCCTTACAGAAAAAACTATACTATTGCTTAGGAATAAAAGATGGTGGAGGTACATGCTTCCATACCTTGTTCAGATTATTCATACAAAGATACATGGTGAAGACACCTAACTGATGTACAAACAGAGGCACAGGACTAGTTCATTAAGGAAAATAAAGGCTAGAGCAGGCCCCTGTCTAAAAAATGTGTACCATGCTCAATATGGCAAGTATTCCCTGAATCTCCTTGCGTATGGGATGTTTAATCATGCAAATGGGAAAGAGGTTGGCTTGTGGGGGTCTGTCTCACTTGGATGAGTGTGAAATGCGAGTGAAGGTGAGCATCAGATCAAGCAGTGTGTCCGTTGCTCTAGAGATCTTGACAACCCAGAGCTCACGTGAGTGAGATGGGAGTGGATGGACCAACCTTTCAGAGAGTGCATACCACGTCTGGGGCACACAGTGTCCAGATGAAGACTTGCATCACTTGGTGACTTACTTCAAGTGAGGGTGACATCTACCTGGAATGTGACTCCACTAAGTAGTTGGGCTCCTAAACAAGTGTTGTGACATTTGATTGTGTACATATGAGTGACATCATTCCATGTTCATAAAACTAGCTGAGGCAATTCATTGATTAAGTTAAATAATGGTTTCAATTGCCATTCCTTCTTCAATCCTTTGGTCTTTCATAAATGAACAATCACAGTGTTTATTGGGACAGCTAAGATCAAAGCAGTTACCAGAAAGCACCATAAAGACCTAAAAATCCAAACTATAAGTCATGTGCTAGGACTGAAGGGGCATTTAGAACAGTCTTCAGGACCTGCACTGCTCTTCATGTAACAAGAATCTCAGGTAAAAGTTTGGATCTGCAGTGGTGCCAATGGTAGCTTGACTAATGGAGGATCCATCACTCTTGAGACTCTAGTGTCTGAAGAAAAGGGCAAGGGATACCAAAAAGTAAAAGTGACTTTGTGACGCATCCTATCTCCTGGCCCCTTCTGCGGAGGATAACAGTGGGATCTAAACATACCGTGTCTTGGATTTGGGAGCATGCAACCTATGTAGCCCTCACACATTCCTGACCAACAGTCTCATCTCTAACATCAGTGGATAGAAGGAATCACAGGATTCTGTTTCCCATTAAGATGTTTCTAAACAAAAAAAGGGGATACAAATGAACAACCAATTTGTATCTGTATATTCAAAATAGGACAGATATATAGCTACTTTCTCTTAATCCAATGAATAGAAAGATTTGTTCTAATAGTGTTTGTGGACAGGATATCATGTTTGCATCTTGTACAATGAATAACTACTAAGATGATATTCTGTACCTTGCCATCACTTCTGTTTACTATGCCCACAGGACAAGACCTTTGTCTTGGTTTCTCATACAGCTTTCTTCTTTGAGCTTCCATCATCCTTGCTCTCTGAAGGCCAAAAAGCTTCTGAGATTCCCAAAAGCTAGATCATCCCCTTAGAACCATTTTCTTTTTATAATTTTTTAAAAATAATTTTATTGAGAAACAAATAGCAAAGGGACAGTTTCAAAACCAATTAGTAGGACAGTTTCAATAATTAATACATTGAATACTGTCATCTTAGTAGTTATTCATTGTACAAGATGCAAACATGATATCCTGTCCACAAACACTATTAGAACAAATCTTTCTATTCATTGGATTAAGAGAAAGTAGCTATACATCTATCCTATTTTGAATATACAGATACAAATTGGTTGTTCATTTGTGTCCCCTTTTTTTGTTTAGTTTTGTCAGAGAAGGGTATTTCATTGTCATTTAAATATTGTAGTACATGAATTCAGCAAAATATTCCAATATAGTCCAGTAGTCCATAATAGTAGTGGGTTATCCATAGGACTGGCAATGTCAGAATTTGTTGACTTGAGCCTTTTACAGCTCAGCATATTAAAATGACTTTACTTTTTATAATTCATTTTTATACTTTTCTGCTGGATGGTTAAGACCAAGAAAAGGCAAGATCTACATAACAAGAAATGTAACTTTTGTATCTGATAAGGTCAGTCGAATTCCCTCAGGATTTATCCTGAAACCCTGTGCTGCAGTTTGTAGATCCTTTGTCAGTGTCAGCCATGTGGATGAATCACGGCCACTGCTTGACCAATTTGCGCTCGCTGAAAGCCTGAGAGAATGTTTTCTCTCCATGTTTTTAAGTAGGTCATTCTGACTCTCCTTAGGCACACTCCACATCATCAATCACTTTCCTCTTTGGCCCTATAATCTCCTTGATCAGAAAATTTGGGACACAACTGAGTTACATGAGAACCGTTTCCTATTACCCCTGGCTTTCCTATGATGAGAAGGATCAAGAAGAACCCAAGGTGGGCCTCCTGTTCTTCCCAAGACAGGCATAACAGTCTGCAATTGTGGACAGCTGAGAAGTTGGGTTCTATAGGGTTCTGAATATTCAAACTCTGTCAAGGCCCTAGGGAAAGACACAGCTCTTATATAGAGGTTAACCTGTAACCTTACCACCTACCCTTCTTCTTACCAACCCGAATTTGAATTTCCCTGTGTTCATTTGACCCAACTCAATTCCAGATTAGAGATGAGGCTAAATCTGAGAAATTAAGTGACCTTTTGCTGCAGCAAAAGAACATCAGCTTCGGCCTTCATAGTTCAGTATTCTTTTTCCTTCTCTATCCATTATTTTCATATAATATGGAAAGTTTCATACAAACCAACACAATATTTGGAGGACAATCTGAGGATGTTTTTCCTTTTTTCTAACTTGGTGACCTCAACTCCTTATCTCTATCCCAACCAGCCTTAAGAAGCCACAAAGATTAAAAAGGAATACTTCGGAGGTTAAACCACATAGTCAACATATGGTCCACATATGATTGAGATTATTGTGCCAGAACATACTTAGCAGCTCCCTCAGGCCTGCTGCATCTGTAGCTTGTCCTTTCAGAGACTAATCTGCAACTTCAGTCAGAAAGACAGAAACCATATTGTCTGATAGTTCTGTTGCCAGGGTATTCAGCCTCTCTCAAGGACCAGGGAATTATAATTAAAGAGGACAAGAAAAGAAACAACACAGGTTGGTTGGTTAGTTGTACAAGTTTCCTTTCCCTGAAGGATACATGTTAGTAAACCACAGGGAAAAGAAACAAGAAGCTGGGTATTATTTTTGTTTCCTATAGTAACTGTATTGTTACTTTCATCATTGTCTTGAAAATATGTGTATCTACGAGCACTCCCTTCTCAGCTTGTTGGTAGTGATAAAATTATATCTAAATGAGGAACATGCTCCCAAAGTCATATCTTCTGCTTTGGAGAAGTGGCTGCAAACACTATTCAGGATTACTTGTAAAGAGAAGTGAATTTTTTAAGTAGGTCATTCTGAGAGTATAAGAGAAGAATACCTTACAATGTTCATCTCTCAACATACACCATTTACTCATCTATTTTCTTCTTCCAAGTCACTGTCTCGATTTCTCTCAGTGAGAACACAGACGTT